CTTTGCCCCCTGTTCCCCGGGACCCTGACCCAGCACCCCAGGGACCCACCAAACCCTCCCCCTCCAGCCCCAGCCACACAGAGCCAGGCTCTGCCTGTCCACAGCAGCCCCTGCGCCAGTGCTGGGTCCCCGATGGTCCCCCTGGCTCCAGGCCAGCTGGGGACCCTTGCCACAGTGGGAGAAGGGGCAAGCTGAGCCAGGTGATGGCCCATGCAGCTCTTTCTCCTCCAGCTCTGCAAAGCCTCTGTGATGCCCAGATGCTCTCCTGGCTCTGAGTGTTTGGAGGGAGCTCAGGACAGTCCCTGACCCAGCACCTGGGCTGCCCAGACCAGTAGGTGCCCAAGGTCCCGTGGGTGCAGGAACAACTCTTGTCCCACTTGGGTGGAAAATCTAAAGCCCCTGGGTCCCTTTTTCCCTCTCCAGCCACCTTGGGTGCTATCTGGGACAAGGTGGGATGCAGGGGAGAGTGGGCCAGGCACGGAGGGATTGGAGGGCTGAGCCTGCTCCCTGCTCCCACTCCCCCTCCCACCACTTGGCCACTATGGCCGGAGCAGTGCTGGGGGGAACCACAGCATTTGTGGTGGGGAAGTGGGGAAATCATATCAAAATGGGGAGCAGCAGCCAAATCTTGAGAAGAGCCAGGACCCAGGGGCTGTGTGCCAGCACGGCCCTGTCAGTGCCTGCACCCAGGTCATTTCTGCACCCCCTGCAGTCCCCAAGGTCCAAGCATCGCTGGGGCTGCAAATCCACCATTGCTTGGCCAGTTAACTAAGCCTCTTCAAGGAGCTAGTTGCTGTGGTGCCCAGGGAGCCTTCTTCCCACATGCCCCAAGAGACAACCCCCATCCTCCTCTCCAGCAGAGGAGGACATGGTTCACAGATACGTGGCAGGCAGAGGCCTGACTTAACTCCTTGTTACCCTGACTTCTCGCAGTCATCCTCCCAAAGGCACACCTCTCTAATGCAGCTCCTGGAGAGGGAATTTCTGCTAGCCTTTTGCTCTTGGCCATGACCAATCTCAGGTACTCTCTGCTGCCCGTCTCCAATTAAGGGAAAACCTAGCCAGCTGGATCATTTTGGGGTGTCTGTTTCTAGCTGGCAAGGATGCACAGAAGCCCCTCCACGATGAATCCCACTCCCCTGAGAGGAGGTAGGAACAAGGTGTGATGGTAGGAACAAGGAGGGTCCCAGGGGATCCCAGCTCCCAGCATCATCCTTGGCTTGTGATAATGGGCTTGTAGCTTCAAGCAGGAGTGGAACCCACCTGAGCATGGACCTGGCAGGGTTATGAGGCAGCATGCAGCAGCACCAGCAGCATGCTCAAAGCTCCCTTTGTCTCCAGCTAATTCCTCTCCATCACAGCCACATGCCTGGTAATGTGGTGAGCAAACATCTCTTGCACTGTTCCTTGAAATGATCATTATAGACTGACGGAAGGAGAGAAACTGGCAGGCTAAGATGCATTCACAAAAATATCCCCTCCAAGGTCACTTTAAATAAGTCTCCATCATTGTTGGCAGCGCTGCATGGGAGAGCTCATGTCAGCTCTGCACCATGGTCAGTGCAGGTGGGCTTTGCTGCTCCTCTCCTACCACGTCTTCTTGCCCCCTGGCAAGGTGTCACAACCCCAGCTGTGCTCCTGGGCATCTCCTCACTCATTCTAGGCCAGCCCACAGCTTGAGGGGGAGTGTTGTGTCCCCCAGAGCCCCCAAACCATGAGTCCATGCCAGGGAGAGTATGGATGTTTGCTCAGCAACTCAAGCTGGGGCTGGCGATTGAACCTGTTAGCGACCTTCCCCACCTTCCCCTTCCAGCACCAGCACGGAGCCCGGCTGCCAAGCACGAGGCCATCGCCCACTGCGCTCCATCCCCACCGCAGCCGTGGAGCCGGGAGGCACCTGGTGCCGAACACCATGCCAGGGAACATAGCGGGCAGGGGCTTTGCTGGCAGAGGGACAGGCAAAATGCGGGTGCATAGCACTCAGTCTGTGGCAGGGGAGGGGGGGAAGCCACCAGGACCACAGCTGGAGGAAGGGGTCAGCATGCTGACTCAGCGCTGGAGTGGATGTGGTGCAGGCATGGCCATGTCCCTTGGCAGCTGGCAATCCCCGTGGGGTGCCAAAATGTGCCTGCAGATGCCTGGTGCTGGGAGGCAGCTAACCTGCCTCCTCTGCCCCACAGGCTGGTCTCAGGGCGGGAGGAGATTAAAGCTGCTTCCCGAAGCTCGCCCCAGCCCATGTCACCCTCTGATTTCCTGGACAAGCTTATGGGACGACCATCAGGGTATGACGCCCGGATTCGACCCAACTTCAAAGGTAAGAGGAGGACATGAGGCTCTCAAACCTGGCAGTGACCCACACTTATGGCTGCCCAAAACCAGCAAACAGGCAGGTATAGGTTTGGGGGCAGGACCTTGACCCACATCCCTCTGTCCCAAAACTCTCCCCAGAGTCCCAACTGCTCACACGATCACAGCTGCCCTGTGTGTGCCTGCTTTGTCTGACAGTGTAGGTGGCTGCTGTGCTTGCAGAGTGTGGTGAGGTTCACCCTGACACACTATGGGGGTGACTACAGAGAGCGGGGGGATGTTCACCTACATTCATCCACACACGCCTGTGTGGTGCACGTGTCTCCCTGGCCAGTGGCAAGAGGAAGCTTCATGCTGTTTTTCAGGTCCGCCCGTCAACGTGACATGCAACATCTTCATCAATAGCTTCGGCTCTGTCACTGAGACCACCATGGTGAGAGTTTTGCCAATGCAATGGGCTCCTCTCCTGGCTCCTCAGGGCTGGCGGTGGCTCTGCCAGGGATCATGCAGGTCCTGGTGCCTGAGCATGTGGCTGTGCTTACAGGGGTCCTGTGAGCCCTTCTTTGGAGCTGGCCCTGGCGCTACAGTGGGGACATGCAGAGCCACAGCAAATGGCTGTGGCTTTTCTGGGGTCACTTAACCAGAGCTTGGCTGTGTGGGCCACATTCCCCATGCCTGAGCTGGGAGAAATACCTCGAAGGGTCAGAGCAAGGCAGCCAGCAGTAGCTCCCTGCTGTTCACAGGCTCAGCAGGTGCTGTACCAATGCAAGTGAGCTCTCTGTCTCCACCATCCCCAGCCTCCTCGACTGCAGGAGGAACTCATCTGAGGAAGCCCCAGGGCTAAAAATTCCCTATTTGTGCTACTGCAAAGCCTTAATACCATCAACATCACCCCCTCCCCCCACCTCCCCAGGGCCACAGAGCCCTTCGGGGAGTGCCGTAGGCAGCAGCTACCGGTCCTCCTCCTTCTCCTCCTCTCAGCTGCTGTGGCTTTGGCTTTTTAATTTCCCCTGGCTGCCAACAGTGTGGGAAGGCTCCTGAGCTGCCCCTGCTCCACTAACCACTGACATGGTTAGTGTCAGGCAGGCAGCACCTGCAGGGCTGAGCCTCAACTAAGAGACCTCCTTCCCCTTCCATCTCCTCCTCCATCTCTTCCTCCTCCTCCCTGGGCACTGTGGGGTGCTCCTGGCTGACATGGTGCCCTCTGCCCCAGGACTACCGGGTGAATGTCTTCCTGCGTCAGCAGTGGAACGACCCCCGCCTGGCTTACCACGAGTACCCTGACAACTCCCTTGACCTTGACCCCTCCATGCTCGACTCCATCTGGAAGCCAGACTTGTTCTTTGCCAATGAGAAAGGGGCCAATTTCCACGACGTCACCACTGACAACAAGCTGCTGCGCATCTTCAAGAATGGCAATGTGCTCTACAGCATTAGGTAGAACCCTTCTCTGGTGCAGTGCCTGAGTGGGGAGGCAAAGCTTTCCTCTTGCCTCCTGTGGGGCAGCTTTTTCCCCCCAACCCCCTCCTTTCCTCTCCCTCCTCCAGGCTGACACTGATCCTGTCCTGCCCCATGGACCTCAAGAACTTCCCCATGGACATCCAAACATGCACCATGCAGCTGGAGAGCTGTGAGTACCTGAGGGGGGTTCAAGTTGTGCTTGAACCCCCCATCCCATCCCAAAAGCTGGCATCTCCCTGCTTGCGAGGGAGGTTAGCAGGAAGGATCAGGGTGGCGATAAACAGGGTGCATGTGTGCCCCCCATCCCATGGCTCCCTCTGTTCCCTCCAGTTGGCTACACTATGAACGACCTCATCTTTGAGTGGTTGGAGGAGCAAGAGGCTGTGCAGGTGGCAGAGGGCTTGACACTCCCACAGTTCATCCTCAGGGATAAGAAGGACCTGGGCTATTGCACCAAGTACTACAACACAGGTGAGCACCCCAGGGACCTGCTGCCACCCCCCTGCCATGGCCTGGGGGTCCCTGTTGCTCATCAGGGCTGTCTTTCCCTGCAGGCAAGTTCACCTGCATTGAGGTGAAGTTCCACCTGGAGAGGCAGATGGGTTACTACCTGATCCAGATGTACATCCCCAGCCTGCTCATCGTCATCCTCTCCTGGGTCTCCTTCTGGATCAACATGGACGCGGCACCAGCCCGGGTGGGCTTAGGCATCACCACTGTGCTCACCATGACCACACAGAGCGCCGGCTCCCGTGCCTCCCTGCCCAAGGTTAGTGTTGGCTCCATGCTGAGCTCCTGTGCTGCAGCCTGCCCACGGCACCTGTGGTGCCCACTGCCACCCCCAGTGCTCCAGGGCCAGGGGCAGCCTTCCCTTGGGAATGGCTGGCTCTGTAGCCTTGCCGGCTGGGGCACCACATATGCTGTGGGGGAACATGGTGCTGCTCAGCCAGGTGAGTTCTGGCCCATGTGTCCCAGCTGAGAGGGCTCCTGTGCCCCTTGGCAGTGGGGCAAAGCTGGCAGTGAGGAGGATGAGCAAGGTGGGGGGAAGTGGGTCCCTGAGTCCTCTCTCACCCTCACAGGTCTCCTACGTGAAGGCCATCGACATCTGGATGGCTGTGTGCCTGCTCTTTGTCTTTGCCGCCTTGTTGGAGTACGCAGCCGTGAACTTCGTCTCCCGTCAGCACAAGGAGTTCATGCGCCTGCACCGGCGCCAGCGGCGGCAGAGGATGGTGAGTTCCTCCTGCTACCGCTGTCACAATGTCTGCCTGTCCTCAGCCACCAAGGGGACACCCCAGGGCTGCAGGGCCAGTTTCTCAGTGGCTGCTGAGGCAGGGGTCAGTGCTGGGCTGTCTCGCACTGGCTGGGGCTTGCAGACAGCCCCTCTGGCACATCAGGGACACACGAGCATCGCAGTCCTTCTACCTGCCTGAGCAGTACAGTGCAGAGTGCCTCAGGTCCTGCAAGCACAAACACACTCAGGGTGCTGTCCTCCTCCTGCCAGTTCATCCTTGGGCTTTGCTTCCTCTAAAAATGCAGAAAAATAAACAGCAAGGGTGGGGGAAACAGCCTTTCCCCTTACCTGCAGCCCCAAACCTGGGCACCTTGCTATGCCATGGTGGTGACAGGGACTCACTGCTTATGTCAGGGCAATGAAACACCAAGGGGATCTGGTGGCACACAGGGACAGAGTCTGGGCTTGCAGACAGGAGCACAACAGGGCCTGGAGAGCCACTGTCCCCAGCGCTGGGGCAGAGCCATCGATCACCTACTGTCCTGTTTCTGTTTGGTGCACACTGTTGGATGCCAAAAGGGCCTGAGCAGTGGGACAGCCAGCCTGGAGTCCCTGCAGCAGCTGAGCGGCCAGCACAGCAGCGAGCACACCTACACGATGCTCTCGCAGCTCTCCAGCACCCGGGTAAAGCACGACCCTCCAGCAGCCCCCCACGCAGTGCAGTGCACCCCCAGCCAGTTTCCCTCCCCCCGGTCCCCAAAACAAGCCCCCCAGGAGCTGGCCCCAGGGCCCAGCAAGGGCTTGTGGAAGAAGGGCAGTAATTTGCACAGAGCATGTGCAAAGTGGATGGAGCTGACGGTCCCTGAGCTGAAAAGAGACTTGAGAGAGGGGTGGGAATGGAGCAGATTTCCCTGGAGACACCCCCACTCCATGCCTCAGTTTCCCCTTCTGTAAAGCAGGACCAGTGAAACACCCTTTGCTGAGGGATGAGTGATGCTGGGGCAGACCGATGGCTGCTCCTGGGCTGCTGCCTAGCTCCCCAGGCTGTGCCCACAACTCTGGCAGGGTGAGGACTCTGCCTGCCCAGCTTTCCTGGCACAGGCAGGTTTGAGGTACATGTGGCTGCCTGCAGTAACTCCCAGCACGGGCAGTTGCTCAGGGCACACGGATACTTTGCAGCTCAAGGGATAGGGGAGTGGTGTTGCAGGGCAGGCTCCCACGCTGGTGGAGAGATGTTGGGGGACGACTGCAGCTCCAGGGAGGAGATCAGGCCTGATACATCCTTGCCTCCCCACCCAGCCAAGCTGCCTCGAGCCTCCTCTCCACCACCATCAGCCCTTGGATGCCGGGAGATGCTTCCCAGCTCTCCCCAGCACGCTTCCTTGCTCCCTGCCTTTCACAGCCCCTGAGCACCGACTCTTGGATATGAACACCCACCCAACC